AAATTTATTTGGCCAGGTCCCTTTTTTCCCTGCTCCTCTGTTAGCCCATTTTGCAGAACAGTGGTATAGGCAGTGGACAGACTGAGGACTGATCCTGACTCTACTCTCATGCCGACTGCGCACCCTCTGGTAAGAGAGCTGCACTTTGTCAGAGTCTTGGTTTTCTCATCGTTAATACAGAGTTGTAGTCAGGATTAAATTAGTGAATGCCAAATACTGGCTATGTGGTAAATTCTTGAAAACTTTAGTCCACCAACCACCCTAGAAATAAAGCTGGCCATATCTATGTTTTCCCCAAGGGCATTATCTTTATTTTTAGCTGAGGAAAACAGCACTCAGTCATCTTGAACCCAGAAGTCCACAGGGGCAGATGTTGAAATGCCTAGCACTGTCCTTCAGGCCATCTGCTCTGCATTAGCCAGCCTTCCTCTGTTTATTATTCTTGTGTTAAATTGCCTCCAATTCTTGTGTGAAAAGTTCGAACACACAATAACCTCTTTATAACATTTTCAAAATCTGGGCCTGTACTAGAAAGTTTCCACCTTTTTCTTGTTGCCATTGTTTTCATGTGGATGTAGGTTTCTGAAAAGGGCATTTGGAGTGCTTTGCTGAGAACATTTATGTGTGAGCTTGAAGTAGACAAATGTTGCCAAACAAGAGAAAATAAGACATGAGAAGAGTTGGGCCTCGGTGTGCGACCTCAGTGTTCTCCATTGTTGTGTGCAGAGAGCTTGTGAATCACAGCCTGGTTGGCAAGAGCCTGAGGCTGGGCAGGTGCTCAGCCACCTTCCTTCAGGGGAGAAATTGAATATGAAGAGAATAACAGAAACATGCCAACACTGAGATGTAGATGCAAAGGTCACAGAACTCTGTAAAAACAAACTCATCACAACCGCAACATGGGCTTCCACTTATCACATGGTATTTGTATGCCATGTTTCACCAAGTGCTATTTTATTTAAACCTCACAACAACCCTCTAAATTAGGTAGAGAATCAGTGAGGACTCTTTCGGCCATACATGAAAGAAAATCTCCATCCAAGTGACGCACAACATGAAGAAATTTTGTTACATATCTCAGTTAAAGTCCAAATTTAGATGTGATTTCAGGTGTGACTCCATGAAGCAGACCCAAGAGATTTCTCCAAATATCAGATTCTGTCCCTCTGCTCTCTGCCTTCT